TAAGACTGGGTTAAATCACAGTGATTAATTTGTTTGTGGGGTAAAGCTGACTTCAAAAAAATCTATAAAACTATATACATGGAAATGATAGAAGGAAATCTCAGTAATTGGGGCAAAGGTTCTCTAATTACCTGCAATGCATCATTAAGTTCTATTGTAATAGCAACTAAGAAAAATATCACTGTTTCAGAACTAATGAGAGAAGAGAAGCATTGGAAGACATTTAACTTCATACATTTCAATCTTTTCCAGCATATACTCATAGTTAAATCTGACAACAACCAACAATAAAATATCTGAAAGAGACCATCAACAAAATGTGACACAAGAAACATATAGTAAGACAAAGTATTTGGCTCACTGTGGAACAGAGTCAAATAGAGGTCTCTCACATCAAATATGAGATAACTGTTAAAACTCAGATGCTCTTTACTAAAGCTACAACCTCAAGTATGTTCATGTTTCTAAGATTGTGAATTACAGAATTTATTTGATTACTATCATCAATCTTTCATTTCCTTTTTGTCAGCCTTGTATTTTAACATGCTCAATCAACTTCGTTATTATCAAAAATACCTGCGGTACAGATGAATATGGGAAAGATAGATGATAGATGATAGATAGATAGATGATAGATAGATAGGAAGAAAGCATTATTATGAAAGCTCACTGGCTGCTCTGCTGAGAGTATACTATTAAGGCACAGACCAGTTATCTGCAATACAATATCTATTGTATCCTTTACAATAACCCAAGTAGGACATAGTGGTGACTTGGACCAGGAGATGGAGATGGAGGGGGTGAGAACTGGAAGTGGAGCCAGCAGAATCTGGTGGTGGTTTTAATTTGGGGATGTCTGTCTAAGCAACTGAGGGATGGAGTTTACATTAACTGCATTAGGGAAGAATGTTCAGTGAAGCAGATTTATAGGAGATGAAGAGGAGTTCAGTTCTGGATCACCTCACTGCATACGAGTAGGCACTTGGATAGGAGAGCCCATAGTTCCAGAACAGATCCAAGATGAGTATATAGACTTGGGCAGTGTTAGCATACATTTTAAAGTCGTAAGATTATAAGATATCACTGAAGAAGAGAATATGGATAGAAAAAGAGAAGAGGAACAAGGACTGAGGTCTAGAATATTCCCCAATTTATAATATTATCTTAGTCAAACTGCTTTCAAGAAATGCCACACCATACTGGAACGCCTGGGTGGCTCCGTCAGTTAAGCAACGGCCTCTTGATTTCAGCTCAGATCATGATCTCAAGGTTCATGGATTTGAACCACATCGGTCTCTGAGATGGCAGCATGGAGCCTGCTTGGCATGATCTCTCACTCCCTCTCTCTGTCCGTCCCCCACTCTCACTCAGGCGCTCTCTCTCAAAAATAAATAAACAACAACAACAAAAAAGAAATGCCATACCAAGTTACATACAAACCAGAAATATATGATAGTGTCAGTCACTACAGCCTTTGCTAAGAGTGGCCATTATCTTTGTCAATTTGAGATATTAAAAATGGTCTCTTGCTATTCCAGTATTTATTACAAGTTAAAATAATATTTTTGTATGTTTATTAGGAATTTGTATTTTGTATATTTATATAAACTAACTATGTACTCAGCTCATTTTTCTCCTCAGGTATCCTAATTCTTATTGATTTACAAAATCACCTTACATATTAAGGTAATTAACCTTTCATTTGTGGTATTTGTTGCAAATATTCTATCTCATTTTCATTTTCATGGTTTTTGGTGTGAAAGATTTTACATTTTCTATCCAAATCTATTTATCAGTTACTTTGTTATGTATTTTATTGCTTTGATATGCACAAAGATAAATTAAACATGTTCACATATTTTCTTTTACTAGTTTATGGTTTCTTATCTTTTGCATTTAACTCAACCATCTAATATTTATGTTAGGCCATATGGGAAGACCTCATTAAATATTTTCTTAGAATTTTTTAGCTCATTTTATAATTACATTAAATAATATATCAATTCCTTCTTTGTGATATGTCCTTTAACTTACATTCAGTTCTTATCAATAGGAAAATCTAGTTCTGAGATATTTATTCCCACTTTTTGCTTTGGCTACTAATTCTTGTGTCTACAGGTGGATACTTTATTATCATATTTTAAAGTTATATGTTATGTATACTACTTATTTGTCAAATTACTGAATGCTTAACAGGCATGTAGGTCTTCTGCTATGGTGGTTAGTTTCTCTACTAAGTCAAAGCTGAATGACAATTTTGTTTTCTTGTGGTACAGTATAGGATATGGTGGACTAAGAATGCATTTTTAAATTTTTATTTAAGTTCCAGTTAGTTCACATACAGTGTAATATTAGTTTCAGGTGTACAAGATAGTGATTCGGCAACTCCATATAACACCTAATGCTGATCACAAGTGCTCTCCTAAATCCCCATTACCTATTTCACCCATCCCTCTGGTAACCATGTTTGTTCTCATGGTTAAGAGTCTGTTTCTGTAAGAATACATTTTTAAATTCAGCTTCATTGACTACGCAATTAGTGAGAATATCATATACCTCCTTCCCAGGCCCAGACTTTGGCATATATCCCTGTATTTACAGTTCTGTCACGGCTTAGTTCTTATGTATCTGGGTGGGGATTTTCTTAATAGGCTGGAAGAAATCAATATAGTCATGGAAAGTTTGCTTCTATATTAAATTGAACTTCAGATATGTTTTACACATGCATAACAAAGCTTTCATACTTGTCACAGTTATTTCACTCTGCTTCTCCCATTAATCAAAAACTACTCTCTCTGGATTCCCATTCAGTTAGGAGGCATGATTTCTTTTTTCTTTTCTTTTTTTTTTAAAATGCTTATTTATTTTGAGAGAGAGAGTGCACTCACACACAAGTGGGGCAGGAGCAGAGAGAGGGACAGAGAGAATCTCAAGCAGACTCTGCACTGTTGGCACAGAGCCTGACTTGGAGCTATATCCCACAAACCATGAGACCATGACCTGAGCCAAAATCAAGAGTCAGATGCTTAACCAACTGAGCCACCCAGGTGCCCACATGAGTTTTTCTTATCCAAAAGCTAATCCACTTTAATATTTTGACTTATTTTAGAATCTTTTCATTTGAACTAAAAGATTATTTTACTTTTAATATTAGACTCCCAATCTTTTTTTCCCCCTATCATTCCACTTTCTTTGGATACTCTACTCATCAAAAGTACATTTCTGTTACCACAAATGGTGAATAAGTAAACCAAACAAAATGAAAGTGGTAAATCATAGGAACCCAGAAATTGTTTCCTGCTGCCCAGCATCTCTACTTTCAGACACTCCCCAGACATTGGACTATACCCCAACTCCATCAAGAAGCAGGCAGGTGGGCAGGTCCTTGAAGGGAAGCTCATGAGAATCTAGTCAGCTCCCTTCTTTAACTAATCCAGCATCTGGGACTCAAAAATCTGCCCCTTACTAGATCTGGGCTTAAACTATGGGTCAGCCTTTTTTCAAATGTAAAAAGGTCATTATTCCATCATTTTGCTGATGTTTTCTGCTACCTACCATGTGACTCCACTGCATTTTCTGAAAAGAAAAGCTTCTGACTGAGATGGTGATTGCCAAGGTAAACAGTTGCCTCTTGATCTCAATTTCACCAAATGTGGACCTCCAAGGACATCATGATTTGATGTCTTAAACACTGACCTTCACCTGTGTCCCTGAGAAAGATTTTCTCCCTTTTTTGGACACTCTCCCTATAACCATATATTGTTTGGCTTGGGCATATATTAATCAAAGACCACAGAATGTGGTTTGTCTTTTTCCTGTCTGCCGTCATATATTCCACTTTAATGGTTGTTTGACTAGAAAGTTAATACTGTATCTTGTTGAAAGGGAAGAAATCTCACCCTCTTTCATGATTCTTCACATAATTATCCCAAGTATCTCATCTGCAGTTCCTCTGAAGGCTTCCTTCTCTGAACTCTTCCAAGTCTGTTCCCTAAATATCCCCTCAACCATCTGCTCCTAACAACAGCTGCTCTGGCTTACAACTACCTAAATGAAATTCCTCTGAGTGAACATCTACTTGGTTCATTTGCTCTTTCCTTTTGACATTGGAAGGTGCTTACTGAACATATCTTAAAGAAAAACTCCAAGTCAATATCATACGATTAAAAGAACAAATCAAATTTGTGGGAAATGGCAAGGACGGTAATGTACTATCCGATTATCATGTCAAAAATTCAGAACCTAAAGGTAATGGTCTCCACTGATGCTTATAAAGAATAACAGTTCCAGACTGGTTTTCTCTAAAACTCATGTGCAAGCCCTACTTGTCATTCCCCATATTTGATGTGAATCAGCCGGGTGTAGGAAGTGAGCATTTTTTAAAATTTGTTTTTGTTTTTGATTTTTTAAGGAAGACTTTGGGTCCTTCTTTGCCCCTAGTAGAAGATAGATGAAAAATTAGAAGAGGTTTCATGAAAAGATAAGCAAGAAATAAGAAATTAGTGATGTAGATGAGTGAGGTAGATTTGTGTAAAGAGATGAGGAAAATAAAGAATTGTAAGTTGCTTTATAAACATGTGTGAGAAAGGGGAGAGATTTAAGTAGAAGACAGCATGGAAAATATAAAACTTTTTTAGTTTATAAGCAAAAAAATGTCTTTCTAAATTTTAAATGGGCAAAAATTCAAAGGAGAAATCAAAACTAAAATCAGAAGAGATGGCAGCACTGCTAATTCTAGAGGAATGCAGCAAATTACTCTGAGTGGCAGCAAGTGTTTTAAGGAAATAGAGTAATGAGTTGTTTACAGAAACCACAATTTCTAAATCAATGATTAAGGGTTGAGTGCTTTTCACCTCCTAAGCACTCAATTGGTATGATGACTGATACGTCACTTATGAAGAGCAGAGTAACACTTATGAAGCAATATACAGTGGCAAAGCTATAGGCATCTGAAGAGCCTATTGAAATGGAAAATAAAGAACAATAATAATAACACATACCTTCTCTGTGTCGATGCCTTTTGACATTGACCATGTTGAGACAATATAATCCATGACCCGTTCACTAAGGCCTTTGGGGACCTGATAGAGTTTCAGAAAGTCCCGTACATTATTCAGCATCTCATGGTATCGGTTGGTGTTGGCATACATTTGCTGGAAAATTGTGGTAACATTTCCAAAAATAGTCGCATAAAGAAGAGCTGAAAGAGAAGAAATAATGAAAATAAAACAATGATCCCAAGTAAAAACAAATATGAATATCAAATCAATGAATCATTTGACAGAGATGTCTTTACAAACTTTTAGAGATTAATGCATGTTAAGCCCTAAGAAGAGTGCCTGGAATTAAGTGTTCACTCAATGTTCTTCAGTATAAGAAACATGGCTTTGTGAGCATGTGCTATCCTAGTCAACATGGCAAACCATGAGAGTGGCTAATCAAATCAATTTTGTAAAGAATTGGATGATCCAACGTTAAAATTTGCCTAAGGAATTCTAGCCTTATGACTTATACCCTGAAGACTTGTCCTCCTGAATAAAGCCTAATCAATTTAAATTTTCCAGGATTGATGATCCAGCTTAGACATGTATGTTCTTCTTCATTGCTTACTTCCTTCAGCTTTTGGAATACTTCCCTGCTTATAAACATTTTTAACAGAACATCAGAAATGTAGGGAGTGAAGACAAATTAGAAGAGTTCCACTTCTTAAAGAAGGTTCTGGAAAGAAATGGGATTAGAATTAACAGCTAAATTAAAATTTTGGAAATGCCTGAAACTTCCAGTTATTAAACTCATGTTTTATCCCAGCATTGTACATTTTTTTATTCCATCATTTTAATTAAGAATAAAGTCAATTTGAAAACCACTGTTATTTATCTACAGGACCCTATGAGTGCAATACAGTTTTTTAATGCCCCTGACTGCTACGCCCACCCTCAACCCATAATTCACCAACTCTTCTCTCTCCAGATGTGATCAGGCTACTAATATTGACCTCATCTTGTAAAAGCTTTTAAAAGCAACTGAGTTCAGCCCAAATTCAACATACTTCCAATCCAACCCTACACTATCCTATCCTGTCTCTTTGATTCCATTCCTTGATGGTCAGTACACTCTTTTGAAAAGGGGCAGTACTTTATTCCCCTTAATGTTCATAAACACAATGTTTAGCAACCACATACATTCCATAAGCATTTTGAGTTTGAGACAGTGGTCACTTCCATTCTATATCCTCCTACCTTTGAAAAATGACTCCTCTAAACAAAGAAAGTATGGTCTGTTTCATTTTCCAATTTCATCAGCCAAATTCCATTTGATGAACATGGTATAAAATCAAGCTAGTGAATCAACTTCAAAACCTTAGTCTATTTTCAGAAAATCATTTGGTTTTTTTAAGAACAGTTGTTTGAGTACAAGTGAATTATCATTTTACAACAGAAAGCTATGATTTTATAAGCATTTACTCAGTCGTGTTTTTTTCTTGCTGTTATTTAGAGATTTTGATGCTAGTACAGAACAATATTTAAGGCAGAAGGTGTTTTGCTAAAACTGAGTACGAACAATACAGTGCTGACATTTCTCACCTGGGTATTTACTTATTTATTTATCCATTCATTCACTCCCAGTATAGTTAACATACAGTGTTACATTTGTTTTAGGTATCTAGTATAGTGATTCAACGATTCTATATATTACTCAGTGCTCATCATAAGTGTACTTCATTCCCTTCACCTATTTTATCCATCCTCCCATCCACCTCTGGTAACTATCAGCTTGTTCTCTATAGTTAAGAGTCTGCTTCTTGGGTTACCTCTCTCCCCCTCCCCTCTTCTTTTTGTTTCTTTCTTAAATTTCACCTATGAGTGAAATCATATGGTATTTGTCTTTACTCCAACGGACTTATTTCATTTAGCATTATGTTCTCTAGCTCAATCCATGTTGTTGCCAATGGCAAGATGGTCTTTAAATCTTTGTATTTAAAAACAAAAATGGGGCACCTGGGTGGCTCAGTCGGTTGAACATCCGACTTCAACTCAGGTCATGATCTCGTGGTTTGTGAGTTCAAGCCCCACATCGGAATCTGTGCTGACAGTTCAGAGCCTGAAGCTGTTTTGGATTCTGTGTCTCCTTCTCTCTCTGCCCTTCCCCTGCTCACAGTCTGTCTGTCTCTCTCTCTTAAAAATAAACATTAGGGGTGCCTGGGTGGCTTAGTCGGTTAAGCGTCCGACTTTCGCTTAGGTCATGATCTCACAGTTCGTGGGTTCAAGCCCCGCTCAAGCTCTGTGCTGACAGCTAGCTCAGAGCCTGGAGCCTGTTTCCAATTCTGTGTCTCCCTCTCTCTCTGACCCTCCCCTACTCACAATGTCTCTCTCTCTCTCTCTCTTTCTCAGAAATAGAACATTAAAAATGTTTTTAATAAAAACAAAAACAAAAAAGTAATCACAGATTTAACATCTGTATTCTTTCATTGTTGGTATTAGTAAAGACAAATACAGAAATAGTGTGAACAAATTAATGGTAGACGAATCATATAACAAATATGGAAGTTTTTCATTTTCAGAAAAGACAAATAGAAATTACATTTTAAAAATAATGAACATTTCAGATTAATAAAATAATTCTATAATCCCTTTTTTGAATAGTGTTCAGCTATTATACATTGTCAATAAATATCAGAGAATTACCATTATTTTGATATGTTTAGCTTGTTTGGCTCCCTAAAGTGCTTGCAATATGCTATATTTGCCAAAGTGTCTTTCTATTGCCTTTTAGTTTAACAAATTACCAAACATTTCATCTTTCTGGGTACATTAAATATGCACACATTCTGCTCATATAAAAATTTTAAGCACTAAAGCATGAATAAAACTGCCAAAGTATTAAAAGTGTGCAGCATTAATAAATGAAGGATATAATCAACATCCCATTAAGTTAGGCATATTACAAAGATATCCACTTCTGCTTTCCATTTTCATGTGAATGTGGTGGGTAGGGCTAAATAAGGTCATAATTAAAGGTAAGACCTATTCAATTATATGTAGTTATATTAACAATTTTTTTTACTTTGAAATAAGTTGCAAAAATAATGCAAAAATTTCACATGTACCCACAAGCAGCTTCTCTCGATGACATCTTACACAGCTAAAATAATTTATAAAAACCAGGAAACTGAAAATCGTGCAATACAATTAACAAGACTGTGGACCTTATCCATATTTCACTATTGTTTTATATGCCCTCATTTTTGGTATATAATTTTTGTAAAATTTTATTACATGTACAGGTCCTCTTTCTTAAAAATATTTTCAATGTTTAAAACTAGCACACACTTGTTAAGAACAAATACGATATTCCATAGCAAGCAACAATACTGCTTCCCACCACAGTTTGTGTTCCCAGGATAAATGGGCACATCTGTGTGTGTGTTCACCAAAATGTCTATTTTTAATAGTATTTATATTTGACAGCAATGTGGCTATCATCAACTAATCTCATCTATTTTGTTTTATTTTATTATGTTTATTTATTTTTGAGAGAGAGAGAGGAAGAGAGAGAGGGGGAGAGAGAGAGGAGAGGGGAGAGGGAAGAGGGAGAGAGTGGCAGACAGAGAATCCAGAGCTCTCTCCATGCTCTGAGCTGTCAGCACAAAGTCCAATGTGGGGCTTAAACTGCAAGATCATGACCTGAGCCAAAGTAAGCAGCTCAACCAATTGAGCCACCCAGGTGCCTCAATATCATTTTTATTTAATAGTACTTTTCCAATCCCTTGGAGAACTTTTGGCCCTCCCTCTCATTCTCCCTTGATTAGGACACAACATATCACCCAAAAGGTTTTAATAAATTTGAATCTTCAAAATCTGTTTGGGTCTTAATTTGGAGGAGGGGAGACAGAGCAGTATATAATACCAATGGGAATAGCATTTTTGCTTCTATTGATTTCCCCTAATTTTCTTTTTTTATAAATTGAAGTATAGTTGACATACAATGTTGCATTAGTTTCAGGTGTACAACATAGTGATTCCACAAGTCTATAAATTATGCTCTGCTCCATCTGTCAGCATACAATGCCATTACAATACCACTGATTATACTCCTTAAGGTGTCCCTTTTATCCCCACAATTCATTTATTCCTTAACTGAAAGCCTATATCTCCCATTCTCCTTCACCTATTTTTCCTATCCCTCTACCCTGTCCCCTCTAGCCATCATCAATTTGCTCTTCATTTTTATGGGTCCGTTTCTGCTTTTTGTTTGTTCATTTTTTTTTGTTTTTTTAGATTCCACATATAAGTAAAATCATATATATGTTATGTGTCTTTCTCTGACTTATTTCACTTAGCATAATATCTTCTAAATCCATCTGTGCCACCACAAACAGTAAGATCTTATCCTTTTTTAGGGCTGAATCATTTTTCATTATATATACATATACATCATCTTTATACATTCATCTATGGATGGATACCTGGGTTGCTTCCATATCTTGGTTATTGTAAATAATGCAATAAACATGGGGGGCATGTATCTTTTTGAAACAGTGTTTTCACTTTCTTTAGGTAAACACTCAGTAGTGAAATAACTGGGTCATATGGTAGTTCTATTTTTAAGTTTTTGTGGAACCTCCATACTGTTTTCCACAGTGGCTTTGCCAATTTACATTCCCGCCAAGAGTGCATGAGCGTTCCTTTTTCTCTACAAACTTGCCAACACTTGTTATTTCTTGTCTTTTTGATTCTAGTAAATGGTCAAATGCTTATTGAGAAAGGCCCTGAGGCATAATACACAATGAGGGAAACAGATCTCAATAAAAACTATCTCTCTGTTGCTAATTCCCAAAGTAAAACCTGACTCCCGAATTACAGACTTGCTTACCTTCTCGGATATCTAATAGCCATTCAGGATAAACATATCCAAAAAAGAACTCAATTTACAATACCTTCTCTCCAACAACCAAATGTACTTTTTATCTCAGAAATTTGTAAAGCCACCCCTAGTTGCTCAGATCAAAAGCTACAAAGTCATCCTTCATTCACTCTGATTTGTTTCCTATCCCTAATGCATCAGCAATTACTGTTGACTCTACCTTCAGAACATGGCCTCAGTTCAGTCACAGCTCACCACTTTACCAGCACCCTTGTATACTCTTTATGTGTTTTTTCCACTAACTAGCTGTGGTTTTATGGGCCAATTACTCTCTGG